TTTAGCATTTTGATTAAAATTTTCGATTCTGTTTCAAATGCGGGGTTTACCTTCCACCTAGGTTGACATGCTACAATTACCTGGAACTCGCCAACAGTCACCCCTCAGCCTCCGATACAACGTTGCCTATCTTGTCCACTATCTTGACTTTGATTTTTCCACCCCCTCCCCGGTCTACGAGCCAACTGTGGCAGCTTTTTGAACCACCAGTAGAGAATGTGGGGACCCAGTCGCCTCTAACTGCCAGTATATCGCTAGAGCCTCGCACATCTCCGCTAGCGCTGTGGCGGTAGTCTTTCACGCGCGGCTTCTCCTCAGGCTGCGAAACGACCTTTTCGTCGTTAACATGGCATGAACGACAGTCAAATGGTTAAACATGAATGAACGAGATTGCGGGTTTCCCGTTTCATCCATGCCGCAGCAACGATCGGCCTCGCATAACGCCCGACTCCCGAAGGTACTTGAGACACGGCCTGTGTTTCCACCCTCCCCAACAACCGGGACCGCATAGCAAAGGGGGAAATTGGCGAAATTCAGGGGATTTCGTGGCCCTTCTCTGGCGCTTTGTCTTGAGCTCCTTAATAAGGGTTGCTCCCTTCCGGCCTCTTTAAAGCCTTTTTTTTTTTCTTTTCTTTAGAATGTCTATGGACTATGACTTGTTATCAGGTCTCCAACTCTGGACACAGGGAACAGAGCTTGCAAGATATCCGCCGGGTGGAGAGAACCTGTGAGAGAGCGGGCATCTTGGCACGTAGTCTTAGGAATCGAGGCTCTGGGTGGGGGAGGGTCAGAACTTTAAGGGTAATGAGAGCGAGGCGTTTATATTTAGGTGTTAGGTGGGGGTGTGAAGAGGTCTAGTGTAGTTTTGGGCGCAGGTGGGGGCGAGGGCGAAGAGGTACTCATTTCTGGGGCGAAGGCGTGAGAGGACTCTTTCTTGAGGCGAGATGATGCTTTTGATGTGTTCGTGCTATGATACGGTACCTAGCTCCTCCTCTCGGATTGGGGGCCGATGAGTGATTCCAGTAGCGTGAGGCGGGCATCTAAGTTACTGATGAGGGTGAAGCCTGGCTCATTAACGCCTTACCTATCCATTCATCTTTCATTAGCCAACCCATCCGTCAGGCGTGGGAAGTCCGACAGACTATAATAATAATAGATTTTTTCCCCCCCACCGCCCTTTCAGATATGCAACTCCCTTCTTCACCTCACGCTTGAAGCGCTCTCAAATCGAACTAATCCCGAATGAGGACATGTCCTGTCACTCGGACTATCTGCTTGAGCTGTTGAATCTTTTTCCTGTTTGTGGTGGATTTGTATCGTTTCGCACGGAGATGTAAGGAGAGCACCCACTTTTAGGAGGAGGGTGTGGTAATTGTCTGTGTGGTGCATAACTCAACTATTGGTATCATGTGTTTTTACTGTGTGTCTGTCGGCGAGCTGAAATAAACCCACCTTCCAAATCATTTATCCAGTAACCTAGCGCGCCCGCCGGCGATCGTCCCGCTCCCCGAGAACGAAATAGGGTAAGAGGGCTGTGGAATTCGGAAAAGCGTGAGGACCTCCAAAACACATTTAGCTGGGGCTCTGAATCATCCATTTCAAGCAGGATCCCAACGTCTGGAATCCAGGTACGAGCACATAAAGCAATCAAGAAAATGCGATACTGTCGCAAGGGAAATGTCCAGAAAGTGCTGATCGATATCATTTCTGGGAGGTCGAGAAGGGTCCATCTCGGAAGCCCTCCCCTCCTTGTACACTAAAGTCAGTGTTGTACGATATGATAAACTAAACGCGATAGGATTTAACCCTTCGAAGCTCCCCCAACCACTGATCTATCATACCCCTCGCTAGAACCGAGGTCCGTGCCAGACTGTATCCCCAAAATGCCACAAACCCCACAGACCTAAACCACAGAAAGTAGATCACCACTGACGGTCACTCGCGCTGCGTGCGGGGTGACAGACCCAAAACCTGACAAAAGGCTCGGAACGGCATTCTCACAGGTCACAGACGCCCGGTGACCTTCGGGATTCAATCCGTAAGTTAATCTATGAGATAGCGCTTACAAATTTCGCCCTTGCACACACCTAGATGTATGATACCTCGATTTCTTCACCTCTAACATTCCCTTCTGGATACTGCACACCCCTCCAAGGCATAGTGCAATACCTTTGACAAATCCGCCCTCAGCATTCACTATCCCCTCCTCTAAAAATTACTCTCTCATCCAACCACCCCCTTCATTCCACTGCATCGCCACTAGCGCGACGGCTCTCTCGAAAACACCCCACCCCCCCGGCGGTGATTGATAGCGCGGCTATCATTGGATACCGGAATTCATAAAGTCAGATGTAGGAAAAGAAAAAGAAAAAAAAGACAGTATGGTACCTCCCAGTGTTGGGGATAAGTCCCCTCCTATGATACCACCAGACACGCAAAATATCTGTATCTGGGATGGGCATCGCAATAACGTTATAATCCGAATACTCCAGCCCTTAAATTTAGGGGTCATATGCATCGTACACTATTGTCGAAGGAGGGAAGGACAAATGAGAAAAATTCTCGAATTTTTTTTCCCTTCTTCTGTACTGTACCTGAACGTTCACTATACACATCGGGAAATGTGCTAATTTACCTAATATTTACAGAGGCGAAATAAAAGACAATGTTTTTCGTTTTTTTGTCCTGGAAAATATCCTTTCTATATGGAAGTTTATATCATGGAGAAAGCTATAAGTTAGCTTAGAAACCATAAGGGTGGCATGCGGAGCGGGATCTAGTTTCTCTTTTTTACAACCAACTTTTAGTTCCCTTTTATGGGAAAAAAAAGGGTCTTTTTCCTAAAGATTGTATCTGTAAGTTAAGCCATGTTAGACAGGAGCTATCCTATTGGCCATTCCGATGAGGGTGAGGGTCCACTTGGGCACCTCAGGCTAGGCTACAACACCAATAACAACAAAAAACAGATAAACATCGTATGATAAAATGTTAAAACACATTTTTTAAATTCCGAGGCAAAAGCACAGTGCTCCAGAGCAAGTGAAAATCCAGTTTCCGCAGCCTACAGAGCAGAACGTCAGTTAAATTCGAGTCTGGGGCTGACCAGAGGTCACCCCGCATAAGGGTAAAATCCCGGGAGCGATCCTAAACGAGAGCGTTCCCCACAGGGTAAATCCTACTTTACAGGATAGCCGCATTTGTTTGCTGACGCTTACTGTACCCGTAACCACGGAAGCAAGGCCGGGTCCCCGTTCGGCGCACGACATGCACCGCGGCATTGTGCAGGGCACTCGAAATCAACGCGGTGGGAAGTTCAATTCGCTTGTGCGGCGCGTGCGGGGTTGTGCGCAGTGGTTGAAACTTGAACTGTCCTCGAAAGCGGCCGTACGCAGGTGATTCGAAATTTTACGATAACGTCTCTGCGAATATTGATTGATCTTGCTGTGAAAAATGGGTGAAAAGATGTAGAGTTGAAGGGGGGGTGGGGGTGCCCTCTGGGGTTCTTTCTATGAATCAATATCTTGCGAAGGATGTGGTCCTCGTTGGAAACTTTCGAGGGTTATTATGGTCCCCTGTGAAATCCGATGCGCTATGGTGTTTTCACCCTTGGAGCCTATTTCCCACGATATTCCCGTATTTGATGGTACGGTACCTCGAAGGATACGCCATACCACAAGAACCGTGCCCTCCCCCCCCAGTATCTTCCCATTTCGGAAGCCCCCCCAACATGTATGATAACTGGGGTACCCCGCGCTCTCTAACCACTTGCTGCAAATAGCCCAGAGCCTTGAGCCTTGAGCTACTCGGGATTCACTACTATACAAACCTCGAGCCTCGCTTCGTGTTAGTCACTTGACATCACTCGCTCAAACTTTCTGTCCGGAGAATATGTTCCGGGCGTTGGGTCAGCGGGGGCGAGTCTCTCCCCAGCCTCTGCGAAATCAGTTTTCTGTCCAGACCCCCTTAAATTACCCCCCAACTTGTAGAAATCGGGTGAACGCTGCACGCTCGCGTAGCGTCTGATCGACATCCGCTACTTGCAATTCCTCTTTAGTATCTAACTCGATCCCCCAATACTCAAGCTCTCGTGAGCCCAGGCGACTTTCAGGAGTGAAGCGGGGCCTGAACTTTGGCCTCCGCTCCAGGTTAGGCCACCAAAGGTGTGTGCAAACGTCTTCCCGAGCGGGGGAAGGGGGAGAGAAGGTTTGACTTAATTTTTTTTCCCCCCCATACCCGCCTGCCTGCATCTCCAGTACTCGCGTTCGAGGAAATCTCGGAGATCCCCGTCTCCTCTCCCGTCTTTCCCCCACCAACAAGAAAAAAAGAGGAAAAAACTGTTTGAAAAACTTGAGCCAGTGTTTAGTTTAGATAATCCGGAGCCGGGTGGACTCGGGGGATATGTCAGTTCATGAATCCCGTGAGGGACACTAATGAATTTCCATTGCATTTTTATATCGGTATCATGTGTGCCGAACAAGGGCTGGCCTGTGGACTCAAAAAAGAAACCCATTCTCAATCTAAGTTACCCTACTCCCATCTTGACCATTTCTCGGAATAAGCGTTGGCAGAATAAGGGTAGGGCAGGAGAGAGCGTGAGAGCTAAGAAATCGCCGGAAACCCGCCCAATGTACAGTATCATACATGGGCTCCAATCTAGAGGTTCGGTATCATACCATGGACTGCAAGATTACAACTACTGTATATCTTGGGCAGCTTGCGCGCATTGGGGGTATATCCGGGGTGTATATACGGGCTGCTTCATGAATCCGCATGGGTATGGTATGATAGTTCTACAATTTTGGCAAAGGTGAGCCGATGTTTGTCAAATGCCATGGCCGTGGAGTTTTAACCCAGTGATAGCACATGATTTCATACACACAACTTGTGATATACACCCCATAACTCATGACGCGGCACCCGGTTTTCTTTGGTGATATAGAAAGCACCCATGAGATCCCCGGTATCCAGAATCATACATTCTCCACACTTGGCTCCTAGATAATTGAACCCGGGCGATTTCAATTTGCAAATTAATCTCACACAATAACCACCCTATGGGCAACGTATCCTTCATATCACATCACACCCGATCCCTTTCACACCGCATATATTCTAAATACCCAAGGTGGAGGAGGGAAAGGCCATACCAACCAACCGGAGGATATTTAGAGAACACGAACAAATAAGTGAACAAGCAAGAAAGTCATGAGCTAATCAAAAGGAAATCGGAAAAATTCATCCATCCATCCATCCATCCTCCCACACGCCAGCACTCAAAGCACTAATCCACAATTCTAACAAACTCACCCTCAAACAAACCCCCAACGCCACCATACCACCCCCAATAGTACGTAATCCGGTCCAAATCAGCCCCTTCAGTAAACGCGAGCGCTACATCGCTGATCACTGCGCCCTCGGGAAATGACAGTTGGTCTCCATATTCCCACATGCGAACACCAGGCCGATCGCCCATGCTCGCACTCCCGAGCGAGGAATTCTCCTCGTCCGGCCAGTGCCCTTTCAGTGCAACGGCGGTCCCCGGATCTGTATTCTGACTGCGGGGGATCATCTCTGGCGGGTCGTGTGGGGGAGACAGTATGACCTTTCGTGACCCGGGGCACCCGGACTGCGTCAAGAGGGAAAAATCGTGGCCTTGGGGGCATTTGAATGTGGCAGAGTCCGGGTCTGCGCCCGAGCGAGTCTGGTCGTAACACTGCATGCAAATGTCCATGTCTCCGTTCAGGCACACGAAGCAGTGGAGAAAAGCAGAGTCCGGGGGGAGTCGCCGATGGCAAAAGTCGCAGTTTACAAAGTGGTTCATTTGCCTCATATACCCGAGCGCCAGGATGCGAGCTTGCGGGGTGTTGGGGGAGTTTCCCTGGGATACAAGGCGTTTGTGCTGTTGAATCTGGTGGAGGATCTCCACAGCTACGGATTGTGGCGACGTGGGCATTGGGTGACGAAAGGGTTTCGTGTAGAGTTCCAGATCGTGGGTGCAACAGTTACCCATCCCCACACACGTACTGCAGTAGCCCCAGAGCTCATCGACGCCGCTGGAGTGACAGGAACTACAGAGCCAGAATTCACCGCTGTTGGGCTCCCCGCAGTAGCTCTCGCAGGTGACGCAGAAGAGGCCAACGCTAATCGTGGATTGTGGGTGCGGGCGTTGCTTTTGGAAGATTGCAACGTGCGGTAGAGAGGACGAGGATGAAGATGAAGATGGGGGTGAGGAGGAGCCACAACCTTCGTTGACACGGTAACAGTGTGTGCAAAAGGTTTCCTCACAGGTCGCACATATCCCACGCACGGCGAATTTCAGAGATTTAGAGCAGCAATGGCATTCCGGTTCCCTAGTGACAGACAGCTGCTCAAAGCTGTCTGCCAGGGGGGAATCATGTGACGAGGCGATGGGGGAAATGAACGACGGGAATGAACCATTGTTCGGCGACGTTGGCAGCCTGACGAGAGGCGCGTGAAACACGTTCCCCGGCTGTCTAATCGGCGGTGGCGTCTGATAAGGTGAAAAATTATTTCGCATTAGCCTCGGTGCCGTTGGCGCTCCCGCTGGCGGTGCACTCCTCGACCCTCCGGCTGACGGCAGTACTTTATCGCCTGGTTTGTACTGGGACCGCAGTTTCCTCTTCTCCTCCGGTGTCCGATCCTTTGATGGATCATTCTTGACAAAGTCATCAACTAGGTTTTGCAGCAGGACGCCCCCTTTCGTTTCCTTCACTACCGCCCGACATGCGGGGCAGGTGGGCTTTGAATCGGAATTGCTTAGCGAAGCGAACCACGATTTCGCGCACGACCCGCAGTTCGCATGGAGGCAGTCGAGGAAGATTACAGGGTCGAAGAGGATGTCTGTACAGATCTGCTCAACTCGTAAGTAATGGCCTAGGGAGAGGGGAGGGGCTAATCACAGAGCAGGTCAATTCCTTCTCGATCACGGAAGAACTCATGATGCTTGATCCCCGGTTCACCCCAGCTCAGATGATTCCCTTATTGATAACGTGAATTGCTTCTATGACGACCGAATCGACTCGATTCCGATCTGCCCCGAACCAAAAATCTGAGGATGTGAGGAGGTTTCGTCTTTGGGGCAGGGAAGTTGAAGGTACTGGTAGTGCACCGTGTGATTAAGACATGAAATAGTAAGCCACGGGTAGTGACAGGAAGTGATAGCCTCACTTCTCCACCACCCCTGGCCATTGAGCTTACAATGGCAAATGGTGTGGGGTATGGCTGGTGATTGGTGATTTGTGAGGCTGAACTGGAGCTTCCTCTTTTCCTTTTTCCCCTCTGCGGTGTCACAATTTCGGCTAAGCTCACCATGTTGGAAATACGGTACTCGAGCACGGTACCAGGCATCCTCCTTCCGGCGCCAGGACCTGGGAACGACAGAGTATGGTATGGTGCATCGAGTTCTATTCCTAGCCTCAAACACCCGCTCTGCGGGTTCAACATATTAAATTGCGGCAACCAGCTCCGTTTCAATATCATGGAGACTTGATAAACGCGGTGGATTACCCCCCCGTCCTCTATCATAGGGGCGCCCCATGATACTCGAGTACAGTACCGTACCCGATCCCAGCATCATCCCCGACCGAGAGGGCCTAGCCCTTGCAACTTTACGTCACCAAAACCTAGGGTTAGGGTTGGTGTTAGGCCGCAAAGTCGATTGTTGGCTGTCAGAGCTCCACGACACCTCCACGTATCAGCGGAGGCCAGTCGGTAGCACGACTGAGGCCAGAACACACCGGAACCAGCGCTTTTCGAGCCACCACGGGCGAAAACATGGGAAGAAAATTCAAAGAGCAATTTGCCACAATAGCACCTATATAAAAAAGTCTGACACTTTTCTCTCCCTCTCTCTTGGAGTCTTGGAGTGGGAATGTTTCCCTCAAAGTACTCGACAACCGTACAGGATTTTTCCGTGGGAAGGGGATGATGAGCACTGTTCACTGCGACTCGCTTTTACCTGGTCCACGTGACCACAGCCCTGTACCAACCCGGGATAGAGGCCTGAAATGAATACATGTTATACTTTACAGTGGATATGCTAAACTCGATTAATCCCCCTCCTCAAAGCTGAGTCTCGGGATATCTGTAAAGCTATAACAGCTCGAAAACCCCCGATTTTGGCACGTTTTTGCCTATATCGTCCCAACCTGCCCCACGAACTTTCCTTGGGGCCGTGTAGAGTTACCGGTATTACCCGATGGTAACGATCTCGTACTCGAGTATTATTCGGGTCATGCGGCTACATGTGCTGTGGTAACTTAGGGCTCGAATATGGGAACTAATCTAATTCAAGGGCGCTGAATACATAGAAGCCTTAGGGGTACTTGTACCAGATCGCGGCTCCAACAACGAAGGGGAGGGTAAATATAAAACTACCACGCAATCCTATTTCCCCACCATCCACCTTCTCCCTTCATTAGGACATAGTATACCCGTTCCAAAACCAGCGGAAAAGAAACGAAGGGCAAAAAGCACTCACCCTGGATCTGTGTTTTTCCGGCGACTCGCTAGAATCAATGGATGTGGAAGGAGAGGGATACAGTGTCCAATCCAAAGGACACGGCATGAATATATGGGTTTTGCGCCCTCTTATTGAAGAGCCGGGGCCATTGAAAGATGGCAGGACGGTGGATGCGGGCCGCGAGGAGATTGAAAAATTGCCTTTATCTCCCGTTAGCTATAGAAAGGGCATGAGTGGGTCGGGAACTAACATTGCGATGAAGGTGGCGAAGTATACGATACACGTGATACCCCGTTTCTTACTTTTGAAACAAGATCTGGGCCGCACCTATCTCCGATCCATCTCACATGAGCCCGAACGGAGCGCCCACCCCCCACCATACCCGGAACACCACCGGCCACTCAATTGTAAGGTAGAAGATGAGAGATCACCTGCATGTTACACGATGGCATTGGCGTAGAATTTTGGAAGTATCTAGTGCTGCATGGCATGCTTCGGGTGCTATAGCAAGAAACATTGGTCAGGCATGAAGGGCACTAGTCTGTTTCATGGCGACGAACTCTCAAACTACGGGAGATCCAAAGGGTTGACACCACCAAGGTGTGGCGAAAAGTCTTTTCCCGTTAGTTTGATTGGAAAGAAAATGGGCATCGCTTTTGGAGGATTTAGCCCTTATGGTATCGTTTTATAGGTCCCATTCTTGCCCACATTTATCCTCCTTCGATCATCGCAACCGCTCATATTATTGTTGTTCACCTTTTCCGCTACTTTCGTTACTGGTATTATTCAAAGAAAAAGCTAAAAAAAAAAAAAACTCGTGCTTCTCTCTAACTATCCCCCGCATATCCTGAAACCATCTTTTGAGGTCGCCATTCTGTAGCGTATCGATTTTGTGTAAAATAGAACACGCGCACTCCATCGCTCCAAGCATACTGTAGACCTGAAACAAACATGGCATCAACAGGGCTATCCTTATTGGTAATTCGGGGACAGCGAGTTAGAGTATCGTTTTCTCACTGTTTGAGTGCAAGAGTAATTGGACCAGCGCAACCAATAAAAAAACGTCAGTGACCTTATCTCAACTCCACCCAGGGTGGCTCCTGCCAAGTGATAATCATATTAAAGGAAGACGGATCCTATGGCAGCCCAAAGAGAAGAATGATTGCGACGGCCACTATCGAATATCAGCCCACTCTCCGTAAGGGATCATGTGAGAAGCATACACAGAGCCCGCAAAAGACCGGGTTAGCACTAATTGACTCCGTTAAAACCCCTACGCCTACAGGATAACAAACACCCGAACACAATAGAAGACCCAATCGCTAAAAACGAGACCAGCAGAGCCATATCCGCGCCTTTCAATATCGATATCAGAGCCACTGCCGGGTGCAATACCAATGTCAGCCCCTTCCGAGCACCGTGCATCATTAACGCCATATAGCCGGCCATTCCAACGATTTCACATTTTCTCCGAGAAAAGCCTGAAAACGTGTAGCTTCTGCTCTGATGTAGTCCTGGCAGGGAAAATTTCTTGGGGATTGGATTCCGGAACTGGCTACAGTTTGAGGCCATTGGCCCAGGCCCCCCAGGCATGAACGCCTAATAATTGGATTTTTTTTTCTTTCTGTAGACATCAGCGGAATTGCCATTTGAACGATTGGCACCCGAAGGCCAGAAATCTCATTGTAACGCGGTAATCTCCTGGGCAAGAAAGTGTGTTACGATCGAGGCATTATGTTTCGTCAAACTGCAAGGCCCCAGTACCGGCCCCTGGGAGAGTGCAAGTAGCCCTGGAGGTTTCTGCTCTCGGTGGGTCAGTAATTAAGGCCAGCCCTACAGGCGTTGAGCCTGCCGCTGGGCCAGGGAACTCGTCTACGAATTCGTTACTCCCTAGGTTATTCCGGTAACTCCGACGGGGAATTGTTTTCCGAGTTAGGGGAACCACCTGCTCTCCACCAAGAGACAGGACATCCGAGGTCCCCCACCATTCAGACACCATAATTGCAGGGGACATTTCGCTTAAAAGACGCTGAGTTGACCTACCGGTCATTCCATATTTCACAAGCACCCTCCATAGCATTTACCGCCTGCATTGAGAAAATCTGGGGCCAAGAAAGAGGGTGTAAACATCACAACATGGGCTCATTCCCCAGATTAAACCCAACTTCGGTAACCTTCTGCTAGGCATTTCCAACGTCTTCCACAGAGCCAATTTCCCGAGCGGACTTTAAGATGGGCGTGGTAG